AAAGGTGATAAGCAGTATTTTCTTTATGCAAAACAGACACCCGATTTCTTGTGAATCTTTGTCTCCAGTGCTTTCTATTTAGAGAGAGCTCATATTCTCTCATTTATTCATGGTTCTGGAGATCAAAGCCAGGACACAGGCAAGCTAGGGAAGTGCCCAGCCACTGAACGGAACTACCAGGCCTCAAAACTGCTGGTGTGCTCCTTTCACTATATGTGTTCCTGAGGATTGAGCCCAGGAACTCACACATGCCAGGCAAGTGCCCTACCATTTTAAATAATTAGGTAATTGATTTTTTATGTATTTATGTGATTTGATTTTTTTAAGATTTTATTTTTTTAATTAAGTGTTTGTATGTGTCTGTTTGGATTTATGCACAAGACGATCAGGTCAACCTGTAGTTAGAGTTCCAGGCAGATATGAGCTGCCTGGCATGGGTGCTGGGAATAGAGCTTGGTCATCTCTAAGAGCAATATGCCCTCTTAACTGCTGAGCCCTCTCTCTAGCCCTATGGGTTTTTGAGATACTATCTTACACTGTAGCCCAGGATGGCCTGGAACTGCATCTGTAGTCCACCCTTGCTAATAACTCCGTTATCTTCCTGCTCCAGATTTCGGGATGTTGGGATTACAAGACTGCACCACTACACACAGCTTTCATTAGTTTTTTGAGGCAGGATCTTGCTATGTAGCCCAGACTGCGCTCTAACTTACTTCCTAGACTAGGCTGGCCTCTAGACTAGGCTGGCCTCAAACTTGCTATTCTTCTGCCTCATCCTCTCCGTGCACCACCAAGCACTACGCCAAAGGAGTCTCAAATGCCTTCATGATAGATAAGCAGGAACATTGTTTGCCAGGTTGGGCTGCATTGCCAGCCTTGGGGACTGCCTGAGAGAGGACGGGGCGGTGTCCCCTTTAAGTCTCCGTGTGTCCATATGTGAATGAGATTGGTAGAGTCCTCAGGCTCCAGGAAGTCAGGCAGGGACCCTGCTACCAGGACTCTAGGCATTTCCTTTTGGAAAGGACTAAATCCCTCATGAACCAGCAGGTCACTGAGGGAATAATAAAGACGGCCTACTTCCATCTTCCTCTTGCTCTCTGGCAGGAAGGCCTTATTTTAACTCCAACAGGGCTGCTCCAACTGACTTCCTAGGAGTCACATAGTCCTGAAAATCTCAGCTTGGATATCAGCCTTCTTTTCTTTGTTCATGTTGACCAATCCAAAACTAGGGGAGGAGAAACCACTGAAAGTCTTAAAGCCCAGGTTCTCCCTGGGGTACATTGGCCTCTTGGTTTCTGGTCCCTTCTCTACTTGTAGAGAGCTTTGTCTTTCTCTATGAATGTACATATGTATGTGAGTATCAGTGTGTGCATGTATGTGTGATTCTTTATATGTATGGATGTGACTCTGTATCTTTCAATAAATGTTTGCTTGCCTGTTGCTCTCTGCTGGTCTGAGATTTCTTCCCGCCTCTTAATTTTTAAACTTGCTGAGAAAATGATCCCAACTACACAGCTAGACAGATATGTGCCAGGTAGCTCTTTTGCTCCTTTGGGGCTTCTTATTGACACAAGCTCCCTGTTTCCCACTGCTCTGGAACAGCCCACATAGTAAGATTGACCTTGGATTTTTGATCCTCCTGCCTTACCTCCCAAGAGCAGGACTTTCAGGAGTGTGCCAAAAAGCACAGCCTCCACTGAGGCTTTGAAGTCCCTTTGGAAACACGCCTCCCCTTTTCAATCACCAGCTATCATCCCCAGGAGCCCTCCCATACCCCAAAGCCCCCCAGACATAAGCAAAGAACTCCTACAGAATTGTTTCCTTCCTTTCTGTGGTGGAACAAGGAATGCTTTCCTCTCAGCACTCAGGAGGTAGACGTCTGAGGAAAAGGAGTTCGAGGCCAGCCTCATCTATATAGCAAGGTGCAGGACAAGTTGGACTACGTTTTACCTTGATTTAAAAAAGGTGTGTGTGAGGGAGCATGTGGAGGGAGAGCAGAACGCAGGGCTGTAAGCTGTGA